ACAAACTTGAACGTGGCTACAGATGAGTCACCAAGTAGGGATTAAAATTAGACTTGCTTTCGGTCTGCGCGTTGGGTGCGGGAGATTGTGCAGGAACACCCCGCGGTGCTGAAAAATGGACGTTTCAACACAGGTGCAGTTTGAGCGTCACGGAGGTGAGTGTATGCCAACAGCACCACCTACTGGGCACAGGAGGGACTGCCGCAGACTTGGCAGATCAGTATTACTAAAATTAGGTACAAGTACAAAAATCACCTAAGGAAAGGTTTTCCCCGTTTACAAGCTACACTGACTAAAGGTATACTCTTTGGAAGTTCTGCTTACACCTAGGAGGGAGAGCACACCCCTCCTCTAACAGAGAAAATGCTGTATATACTACGGAAGTCTTTTCTGGAGCAAGCAGGAAAATGCCTCATCCCACCCCACCCCACCCCACCCCACAAAGGATGGCCATGCCTTACTGCCCAGAACCTGTGACTACGTGACCTTGAATGGCAAAGGGGAGTTTGCAGATGTGACCCCCAAATGAAAAGAGTACCCAGATGATCCAGGTGGCCCAAGGTCATCAACAGGATCCTTAAAAGGGCGAGAGTCGCCCTGGCTGATTTTGCTCAGCGGTTAGAGCGTCGGCCTGTGGTCCAGAGACCCGGGTTTGGTTCCCGCTGAGGGCATGTACCTCGGTTGCAGTTTGTCCCCGGCCCTGGCTGGGTCGTGCAGGTGGCAGCCACTCGATGTGTCCCTTTCACATCGATGTTTCTCTCTCTCTCTCTCTCTCTCTCTCTCTCTCTCTCTCTCTCTCTTGTTCTCTCTCTCTCCCGCTCTATCTAAACTAAAAAAATGGAAAAATGTCCTCGCGTGAGGATAAAAATAAATAAAAAATAAAAGGGCAAGAGTCCCAGGCAGAAGAGATGGGAGGTCAGAAAGCAGAAACTGGAGCGGCCTAATTGCTGGCTTTGAACATGGAAAAGGGGCCCAAGAGCTGTGGAGTGGTGTGGCCCCCAGCGGCTGGGACAGATGAGGATGTGACTTCTCCCCCCGAGCTCCAGAAGGTGCACAGCCCTGCCCACACCGTGACGCGAGCCAGTGAGACTGGTTTTGCACTTCCGACCCCTAGAATGCTAAGGTATGAATTTGTTATTTCAAGCTTATGTGATAGATAAATATATATTTGATGTCTATATATTTAAAAGTGTGTGTGTATTTTTTTTTAATTTGTAGTTCAAACTCTTCCCCACCCCATCTCCCCCAAAAGCTCATGACTGACTTAACTGGCAAATCTACCAAATACATAAAGACATTTTCATGCCAAAGCTGTACGAACTCTTGCACAAGGTCGAACAGGAAGAAATACTATTTTATGAAGTCAACTCATTTCATGAGGCTAGCATGAGTCTGATACCAAAACTGAACAGAAATATTTCAAGGAAAAAAAAGAGAAAAACTACAGGCCAAAACCACTCATGAACATAGAGACAAAAGTCCTCAAAGAGATATCAGAAACCAAATCCAGCCACATGGAAAAAGACCACGTCACGACACAGTGGTTTGTCCTGGGAATGCAACCCTGCTAGCACTGGGAAATGAATCAGGGAAATTCACTTCATCCACCGGAAACGAGGAAACAGCAGAGTCCGGTTCAAGGTGGTGACGAACGAGGATCTTAAACTCACCTCCTTCCACGGACACACGGAAACCGCAGCGAGCCACAAAGCACTGTCTGCTGACGTGACTACCCACCAGGCGACAAGCAAAAGCCCCACGTGGAAGTGGGTGGGAGCAGCTGAGACACAACCTCACCATCAGCTCTGCTCCAGCAGTGACTCATTCGGGAGGGAACTCAAAGCCCGAACTTCTCCCTGAGGAGTGAAGGGTCTGAACCCCACATCTGGCACCCCAGCTTTTAAAACCTGCACCTGAGATACAAGCCCCCATAATATCGAGCTTTCAAAACCCACAGGGCTCTCGTCCACGAGATCCACAGGCCGCAGCGCACTGAGAGACAGCTCTTACGGGGCTGGCACAGGCTCACCCACCCCGGGACCCACAGAGGCAGCCGACTGAAAAGCACCCCCACTTTCTGTGTAAGAGGCTTATCTGCTTATCTTAAAGTGTCAGCATGAGGGACGAGCTTCTAGTGGACACACAGCTCGGGGTCTCCTGAAACCTTCTGCAAAGGTGGAGGTCGGCTGAGTCTCTGTCTCGCTCCAGGCCACTGGGGTCTCCCGGAAAGGAGCCCTGATTTTTGTGGGGCCCAGAAGACACCTCTACGTCACCTGGCTCAGGCGGCCAGCAGGCTTATGCTCATGGGTCCCACAGAACTGGAAAGATGAAGAAAGGGTTCCTAAGCAGCTACCACCCTAAAGCATGGTGGAGAGGCACCCGGTCTGTCTCCTTGGTGTTAACAGCAGCGGCCCAAGACACAGGCTTCCTTTTTTTTTTTTTTGTACGTGCTCCAAGCGGGAACCAAACCCAGGACTCTCTGGTCCACAGGCTCCAACCACTGAGCCAAACTGGCCAGGGCCACAGGCTTCTTACTAAAACACACACTGAAGCCTGACTAATTCTCTCCAGAGAACTCGGAGGACAGGCACCATCGTCACACTCTCCCTCTACCCCACCCACGGTGGCCTGCGTCTCTGTGTCTCTCCAAGAAAGGAGCTTGTGCACATGTGTGGCACCCTGGCTTTTGTGACTTCCAGCCGGAGGACACATTGCTTGACAGCCTGGCTCTGGTGGCCAACAGGGGTTAGGTTCACAGGTTCAGGGAAATGTAGAAAAAGAAACCCTCCTTCACTGGCCTTCACCCCAAGACTCAGCACGGAGGGAGCAGAGAGAAATGCCCATCTCCAAATCGTCCCCTGAAATCCTTTAAAAGCTGCTGCCTGAGGGTCTGACCTCCAAGCAGCCTGAATCCAGGTATCCACTGGGGTTGCCCCCTTCTGGGACCCTGAGAGGTCCTGGCACACCCTCAACCAGGGGAGCCACCAAGAATACAGTAGGCTGGCTAGAATAATCACAAAAGTCTGAGAAACTATCTCTAGCCAGGGCAGAGTCTCCTGCAAAACTGAGAGAGGTGGCTGTTTCATCTAATGCATAAAAACCAACAGAGAAGTCAAAGAAAATGAATGTTCTCCCAATAACAGAACAAGATAAAACCTCGGAGATCAGCCTGAATGAAATGGAGATAAATGAGTTACCTGCCTCATAAAATGTTTGAAAATCAGTCATAAAGATGCTCACCAAACTCAGAACAATGGATAAACAAAGGGAGAATCTCAAAGAGAGAGAAAATATAGAAGGTACCAAACATAAATCAGAGCTGAAGAATACAGTGACTGAAATTAAAAAAAAAAAAAACAAAAATACAGCAGAGGGTTCAACAGTAGACTAGACAAAGCAGAAAAAGGATCCGTGAACTCAAAGACAGGACAGTGGGAGTCAGAGCAGCAAAAAGAAGAGAAGAGTGGAAAAAGGTAGACACAGCTGAGGGACGTGTGCAGCAGCATCAAGCAGACCAGCCAACACGCACATGACGGGTGGGGTCCCAGAAAGAGAAGAGAGAGAAGGGGACAGAAAACATATTTGAAGAAAGAATGGTTAAATACTTCCCTAACCAAGGTCCAGAAAGCCCAGAGAGTTCCAAATAAGATGAACCCAAAGAGACCCACACCAAGACACATAAATGAAGTGTCAAAAGTGAAAGACACAGAGAATCTTAGAAGTAGCAAGAGAAAAACAACTTGTTACAAACAAGGGAAACCCCATATGTATATCAGCAGATATGTCAGCAGAAAGTGTGTAAGCCAGAAGGAAGTGGCATGACATATTCAAAGTGCCGTAAAAAAAACAAAAAAAAAACCTGTCATCCAATAATATTCTACCCAGCAAACTGTCCTTCAGAACTGAAGGAGAGAGTTTTTCAAACAAGCAAAACCTAAAAGGTTCATCTCCACTAAATTGAACTTACTAGAGATGTTAAAGGGACTTTGTTAAGATGAAAAGAAAAGGCACTAATTAGTAACAAAGAAACAGATGAAAGTTTAAAGTCTCACTGGAAAGGTAAAATATAGTAAAGGTAGTGGATTAGCAAAACCCAGTAATTCCGCTTCTGGGTATTTATCCAAAGAAAACAAAAACACTAATTTGAAAAGATAGATGCACCCCTATGGTCACTGTAGCATTATTTACAATTGCCAAGATATGGAAGCCACCTAAGTGTCTACTGACAGACGACTGGATAAAGAAGATGTAAGACACACACACGCAGTGGAATATTACTCAGGCACAAAAAGAGAATGAAATCTTACCATTTGTGACAACACAGATGGACCTAGAGGGTATTATGCTAAGGGAAATAAGTCAGACAGAGGAAGACAAATACCATGTGATCTCACTTACATGTGCAATCTAAAATAAAACAAAATAAATGAACAAACAAACAGAAACAGACTCACAGATACAGAGAACAAACTGATTGTTGCCAGCCGGGAGGGATTGGAGGCTGGGTGAAGATAGTGAAGGGATTAAGAAGTACAAATGGGCAGTTACAACACTGGGAATATAGTCAATCATACTGTAATAACTATTATGGTGCCAAGTGGGTACTAGACTTGTTGGGGGTTTACCTCGTAAGCTACACAGATGTCTAACCACTATGCTGTGTACTTGAAACTAATGTAATATTGAACGTCAGCTGTAATTGAAAAAAAGTTTAAGTAGATGACTAAACTAGAAAAAAAGAAAGTAGCAAACACAAATTAATCACAGGAAAAAGAAAAACAGCACTCCCGATCTTCAGGTGACGTTTTAAGGCTCGTGTGCCTACTCGGCGTCACAGGTGTGACACACGAACGCGCTGCTCATGAATCAGAGACCCGACTGCCGCCCACTCCACGCTGCAGAGGAAGTCCAGTCTGTGCTGTTATTTCGTTTTTCACCCAAAAGGCCAATCGCACAGCGAGTCGTCAACGGACACCCCTCATTGTTAAATACATTTTCCAAACACACGCCCACGCACGATGGAGGGGAAAGGAAATGTTTATTTTGCGTTAATCGTTTGAATGCAAACCACCGTGATTTTCCAGGTGTAAGTCAGTGGCAAACGGGATTAAGGAGGCCTCCGGGTGTTCACAATTTCCAGGCTAAGCTTCCAGTTAAGGTAACACGGTTATCGACTTAATATCCCTGAAGCTGCTAAAAGGCTAAAGGCAGTCGGACCACTTGAAGGCAAATACAGGCGACAAGGACTTTGGTCTCAGTAACAGAGTGGCCTTGAGGACGGCAACAGTTGGAGAGGAAGACCCTACTGGATCAGAAAGCAGCCCGCAAGCTGCTTGGGCGGCGCGTGCGGGAGGTCAGCGTGCAGCACCTGGGGTAGGACAAGGGGCCGGCTCGGGCCTGAGGGTGTGCGCGGTGCTGAGGAAGGTGGCGGTGGTGGCGCGGGGCGGGGCTTCTCCAGGTGGCATCTCAGTCATCTTCTCCCCCGCAGAGCAGCAGGAGGGCTTTCTTATAGTCCCCGGAGGTGTCCCCCTGAAACCCAAAAGTCCTCCGTTACCTCCATGGCTCACAGAAGCCTCAGGAAATGGAAAGAGAGAGACAGCTAGCGAGCAACTGCGTTCCTGTGACTTTCCTCCCAGTGGGGTGACCTCCTGTGACTCACACCGGGAATGTTATGCGGGGCTGACTCCCTGACGGTGCCCCTCGCGGGGGCAGCTCTGTCTGAGACAGACGGTGCCTTCGCCAGCGTCTCAGAGGACGGGGTGCCCACAGCTCGGCTCAAACCCCACTCTGCGGACAGACTCGAGGTCTGCAGCTCACGGATGCGAGGGGAGCAGCAGGGACCGCTGGCTGCTCGCGACAGGGAAGGGCAGGTGTGGCCCGCCCCTGCTGGCCGCGCTCCGCTGTGCGTGACAGGTGGTGCTTCAAGCTACAGGAGCGCAGGAGCCGGACAACTCGGTGCCCTTCAGCCGCACCACACAGCAAGGTGAAGGCTGGCTCTGCTGAGATGCCCCTTCACAGAGCCCACATCTCATTACCAGGAGAGGGGGAGGGGAGCGGGACAGGAAAAGGGGGAGGGGAGAGGTTAAAAGGCCTTAAGCCCAGTTCGTTATAAGCCACAGTGCCCCGTGCTTTAAGAGGGACAAAACCTGTAGCAATGCCTACGCTCTTGACTGACTCCGGCTCTGACCTGGTTGGTCCCTTCCTGAACTGTGAACCTGAGACAGGGTGACGGCACAGTCAAGCAAAGGAAGACAGCCGTGACAGAGGAGGGACTTATGGAGACAGCTGGGGCTGCAGACGGACGAAAGAACACTTTGCCATGGGCAAGCGTGGGTCTGTTGAGTCATCTGTCCCCACAACTAAAGGGGCTTCTAAAGCCGGGGGGCCTCGGCCTGGCCAGGGGCCAACCTCGCACTGGGAGCCAAGGCCGGACTCCAGGAGCAGGGTGTCCCACTGTACACGGTGTACACGCCCCCCACCCCGCTCCGGTTCCGCACGTGCGACTGGATCTCTGACCAGAGCATACCTTAATCATGGAGTAAAGGGAGGTGGCGAAATTCTTCCTGAACTCCTTCCGAATGTTGAACAGGTCGATCTCGCTCCTGGAAACGATCACGCGGATGAGGGTGTGGTCGTCGGTCCCCGCGCCCTGCGAGGAGAGGAGAGGCAGGCGCTGTCACGGACGTCACTCAGAGCATCGCCCTCCCGAGTGGGGGTGAACCGACAAACTAAAACGACTTAGTGGAATGGAACCGCATGTTTTAAGGAGGAAAAAAATCCCAAAGTCCGTCCCCTACAACATCACCGCACTTGGAGAAAGACACCGAGCAGGGAGACGCGGCGTACTTGCCTTCATGGCGTAGTACAGGGTCTCCGCGAGGTAGGCGGGCACGCTGCGAATGCACTTCACTAGGAGAGAAGCGGTACCGTCAGAGGCTGCTGACAGGAAAGGACACACTGCCCATCAAAGGCTGCGTCTTGCTCCTGCCCCCCTCATGCACGAGCACAAAGAACAGCGCCCGTGAGCGGAGCCGACCTCGTCCTGCCCACGTCTCCACAGACACCGGCCACACACCCCGGGGCGTGGCGGATGGTGCGGGTCTCCGAGGCCACCCTGTTGGACGGCACCTTCTTCTCCAGCAGTTCTGGGAGCTTTGGTTGTTATGTCAGAACCATCCTCATCCCCGAGAAATAGTACAAACATCCTGGAAGTTTCGTTCCAATCCATGCAAGCCAGTGACAGCAGATGGCTGCTCCGTCTAGTCTTCAACAAACCCTGGACTGTCTGCCCGTCATCACGACCCAGGTTTTCTCCCTGCTTCTGGAGCACCCGTGATGCACACAGAGCAGCAGGAGACGGGCCCATATCAGGAGAAACACCCAGGTCAACTGAGGGCAGAAAGGACACCTTCCCTGAACACGTACCTGTCTGTCCTTACCTGTCTATTCTACCTACGGTGAGAGCTGCCCAGGCCGTCTGCTGAGCTTCAGAAACAATTACGTGAAAATTCCTTACTATACAAAAATAACCACCCTTCCATGGGGTGGGTAAATTCTCCTCACCATTGCTTAAAAAAAAAAAAAAGCACCGGTAACTAAAAATGTTATCATTCTTCTGTGTGTTCCAATCGCCAAGAGATGGCTACACGTTCCCTGTTAGATCCACCACTGTGGGCTGCGGTCGGCTGGTCCATGCACGCCTCCCGCGTCTCTCCCAGAAGGACGGGGGCACAGCAGGGCTCACTGCACACCCATGCAGCCGGCACCCCGGGCACTCACCAACCAGCTTGCCCTGGCTGTGGAGAGCACGTGATACTACAATAAACTGTACCGCCTTCGCGTCTCCAGTTTTTTCCAGATTGTTCTCACTGGGTAGCTAAAATAAAATTCCAAATTATTTCCTCTAAAAACCACCACCTCCCAGTATATCAAGGCTACTTTTTCCAAATCAGATGCCACTTTCTCAGCCCGCCCCAGAGCTGTGGACGGCACTGAAGAGAACATTCAAGTGCCACAGGCATCAGAGATGACCCGCACAAGCGTCTGAGGTGACGCCCACACCTCAGGCTCACAGCGAAGCAGCAATGCCTTCGATCGTGGCTTCCAGGGGACCTTGAACAACTCTCTCGGTCTTTGCAGAGCATTAGATGCGCTAACCAATCATGTCTTCCCAACACCAAACCAGACACTGAATTTGAAATGTAGGCATTTGCTTCACCCAAATATCACGAGTTCTTTTCATAAAGAAATATGTGGTTGTTTTCAGACACTGCTTAAATGGAATAAAATACTTGAGCTCTGAAGACCATAAATATATACATTGTACAAGTACCTACCGACAGCAAGGAGCAGTTGCTCCAAATTACCAGAAGTCTCTCGGTCGATGGTCTCCTCAATTTGAAATCCCGATATAGTCATGTATTTGTCAAACACTGGAAAATAGAAAAATGGTTTAATTACATGAGGATCACTCTTCCCAGAGAGAAGGTATTCACTCTAACCAGGTATTGTCCTGCCGAACACACATCTCCCCTTCTTCCTTTCTGACAGAAGCCTGATTTTGTTCAGAGCCTCACTGTGCCAAGCCCTAAACAACTGGTTATAAATGTTTTGTTCATTAATTTCCCAGCCCCCCCTTACTAGTTATTACCAATGTGACCTAAAGGTAAACCTCTGGAAAGGATTCTGCGAAATCTTTCTCTTTCCTTACTGAAAGTCACAGATACACGTTTACATCTTTATTTCTTGCCGTGAACATGGTTGATGTGTTTGGAGCCACCGCAGCCCTCTTGTGACAATGAGGTGCTGAGCATGAGAGAGTAAACCAAACCAAGGACAAACAGAAAGAGCCCAGGTCCTGCCACATTAGCCAAGGGACCCTACTACAGAAAGCCCAGTTTCCAAAGCCACTATTAGGGATTTCTGTCGCTTGCCCTGAACTCATTCCTGCCTGAAACCACCAGTAGTGAAAAGATGATTTCTTGGGTACCGCTCTGAGGAGGAAGTGCTTGTAGTGAGGCACAGCTCAGTGATCTGCGACTGAGGGACAGCACGGAGGCCTACCTCCCCCTCCTAGAGTGATCTCTGGTTTTTTTTAAAAAGCCACAACAGTAGCAAAGAGAATTATGAGATTTCTCAAGGAGAAAAGGAGAATTAGAAAAACGGACTCAGTAAGTGCCTGTTATGTAGCTGGTGGGTGGCCCTCTGCACTTTCCAAATTAACCACGAATCTAGTATCACATGTTTGTTTCACTCACCCTTTCGCAAATGAGACACACTTCGTGTCCCCAAGATGGTGATGAACTTCTCTTCATCCGTCCCCCACTTCAGTTCCCCAGCCTGGAACAGCACCTGCGGAGAGTCCGCCTCGGTTAATCAGCCCCTCCCTCCACCTGCCAGGCTCCGAACCACACGGGGTTACTCCCTGAACATCAACTCGCCTGATACTTTTTGATTCTAATGTTTCCTGCTCTGAAACCCGGTGAGCTGGGTCTGGCACTACTTTGGGGCCTGTCACCAAACAGCCACAGAAGACAACACTGGCGGGAGGTAAATGTCCCCAAAGTGTCTGCTGGCACCCCGGTCTCTCCGGAGCCGCAGTGGGGTTGGCTGAGCCTCCGCTGCCAGGCTGGGGACGAACCAGGAGCTGAGTCTGCCTGTGGGTGTCCTTGCTCTGACTGCAAGGACACCTGGCAGAAAGGAACGGTTTACTTTCTCCTCGGAACAGAACGGAACCAGAGCTTTGGGACTAAACGGGACGGGATGTGTAGCTACAACACAGCCTCCCATTTCTAAAAGATCAGTGACTTTCCAAGGCTGTGGGGGGCACTGTGCCCGGCGCCCAGCAGGCATGAACACATCCTTGTTGACTAGTTCAAGTTCCATATTTACTGTGTTACACAGAAAGATTGTGTGCTTCCCAGTGTCCATAGAATTACTGAAAACATGAAATTATATATAAACATGAATATTAAATTGGAGTCCACTTACTGAGATGTGGATAATACATTCAAACCCAGAGAAGCAATCTTTAAAATGTCTACAGCACCTTTTAGTTACCCACTGCAAGGTAAGAATGCCTACTAAGCCACGCTGAATGCGACGTGCTGAGACTACTACTTGGAGCTGCCCCTCCCCCACAGAGGCCACCCAAACAGGGACGGCGGTGATCACAGCGTGTGTGCAGTAGAAACTTTAGTCGCACTGTGTTCGAGAACTTAGACTGTGGCGGTACAGACCCATCTGTCTTCCAGAGAACAAAACAAACGAGTTACATCTCAACACTCGGTTTTGAAATCATCTTAATGATAACAGTGAAGAACATCAACCCTGCTCCTGTGACCACGCACTTCCAAACTGGACAGAGAGTCCCACGGGACGCCAGGGCCCAAGTTCAGAACCATCTCTCAGTGTTCCAAATCTCTCTCAAAATACCCATTTGCGTCTCTTTGCAAAAACATGTTTGTTGAAAACTTTTGTAAAACACGGGAGAACATAAGTGAAATGAAAATCACCACACGTACCAATGTCACAGATACGCACTACGTGTTCTGCACACAGAGAAGACATGCGTACAGCTGACACCCAAGGGGCCCTGCTGGCCCCCACAGCCCGCCTTGCTCATCAGCTGTGCGGGAATGGCCGGTGACAGGGCTACTTTCACTACAATCTCCTGATGCTCTTGGAAGAACTGTGTTCAGGATCAACATCTGTTCTAACGCGGCAGCTCAGGACACCGCACGCAGTAACGTGACAGCGTCCTCGTGGACAGCAGAGACTGAAAAGGCTGCACCCGTCCGGCTTTCACACGGGAGTCCTTCCTTCTGCCTGAGGCTGCCCGTGTCCGTGGGGCTGTCCGGATGGGGGACCCTCACACCTCCTCCCCTCCACCTTCACTCACAGGGACTTCACGCTGAGCCCGAGCACAGTCTGTTAACGTCTGCTTCCATGAAAAGTACGGAGGCTTCGGAGTCAAACAGACCCGGTCCTGGCCCCATCTGTGCGTCCTGGGCCCCGTCTGTGCGTCCTGGCCCTGTCTGTGCGTCCTGGCCCTGTCTGTGCGTCCTGGCCCTGTCTGTGCGTCCTGGCCCGTCTGTGCGTCCTGGGCCCCGTCTGTGTGTCCTGGGCTGTCTGTGCGTCCTGGGCGGCCCTGTCTGTGCGTCCTGGGCGGCCCTGTCTGTGCGTCCTGGGCGGCCCAGTCTGTGCATCCTGGCCCGTCTGTGCGTCCTGGCCCATCTGTGCGTCCTGGCCCATCTGTGCGTCCTGGCCCGTCTGTGCATCCTGGCCCGTCTGTGTGTCCTGGCCCATCTGTGCGTCCTGGGCGGCCCTGTCTGTGCGTCCTGGGCGGCCCAGTCTGTGCATCCTGGCCCGTCTGTGCGTCCTGGCCCGTCTGTGCGTCCTGGCCCGTCTGTGCATCCTGGCCCGTCTGTGTGTCCTGGCCCATCTGTGCGTCCTGGGCGGCCCTGTCTGTGAGTCCTGGGCGGCCCTGTCTGTGCATCCTGGCCCGTCTGTGCATCCTGGGCCCCGTCTGTGCGTCCTGGCCCGTCTGTGCGTCCTGGCCTGTCTGTGCGTCCTGGGCCCCGTCTGTGCATCCTGGCCCGTCTGTGCGTCCTGGCCCGTCTGTGCATCCTGGGCCCCGTCTGTGTGTCCTGGGCTGTCTGTGCGTCCTGGGCCCCGTCTGTGCGTCCTGGCCCGTCTGTGCGTCCTGGGCCCCATCTGTGCGTCCTGGGCCCCATCTGTGCGTCCTGGGCCCCATCTGTGCGTCCTGGGTCCCATCTGAGCGTCCTGGGCCCCGTCTGTGCATCCTCGCCCGTCTGTGTGTCCTGGGCCCCGTCTGTGCGTCCTGGGCCCTGTCTGTGCATCCTGGCCCGTCTGTGTGTCCTGGGCCCCGTCTGTGCGTCCTGGGCCCCGTCTGTGCGTCCTGGGCCCCATCTGTGCGTCCTGGGTCCCATCTGAGCGTCCTGGGCCCCGTCTGTGCATCCTCGCCCGTCTGTGTGTCCTGGGCCCCGTCTGTGCGTCCTGGGCCCTGTCTGTGCGTCCTGGCCCGTCTGTGTGTCCTGGGCCCCGTCTGTGCGTCCTGGGCCCTGTCTATGCTTCCTGGACGAGGTGCGTGACTCTTCCTGTACCTCAGACCCCTCCCCACGGAGGAGTGCCATCTCCACAGGGTCGGTAGTGGAAATGCCACAGCTTACGTCACGAATGCACCGAATCGTCAGGTCAGCAACCTCGAGTGCTCCATGAACACCTGATCCCCCGCCCCCGCCCAGGGGCAGCAAGGACCAGAATGTGGCAGGAGAGGAGGCGAGATCGGGTATCACACATGGTGAAAAGGAAGGGGGTTGTCTACAGCAGTCAATTCCCAGGTGATGACTCTCGGCAGCTTAGCGAACCCTGAAATACAGGGAGCGCTCAGTGCCAGGTATCAGTCGAGAAAAAATGTCAAAAGCTTATGAAAGGGCCCTTCAGCTGTCTCGGCTCACTCTCGGTGGAGAAATCTTAAACTCCCTTGGTGACCACGGTCCAGCTGCGCCCGCCTCAGGCACCAGTGGGCGTGCTCCTTCTATAATGCTGTGTCGCTCCTGGTCACCGAGCAGGTGGGGAAACTCAGGGGACACCTCCACGTAACTTCCTAAGGCAGTCTGACAAAGTTTCCCCTTTGGGTTCTGGATGGCCATAGCCCCTGGACCACAGGACCCGCATGGGCACCCCCAGAGCGTGTGACAACATGCAGAATGCAGCCCCACCGGCCCGAGTCAGAATCTGCAGTGGAGAAAGGTCCCCAGGGCCCGAGCGTCTGGGCACCGGCAGCCATTGCTCGGAGGGGGGTGCACTGCAGACGGGGTGAAAACAGCTTCCACTCAGCAGCCTCACAGGCATTGCGTCACCTGTGCTTCTAATCTGCACTGAACGACCCTTCTTCCTTCCGGCAGAGGAAGGGCCAGAGAGGAGCCGAAGGTGAGGACACAGACGGCCCTCCGTGGACGGGAGAGACCTGGAGCCACCAGGCCCAGGTGGGAACCCACTGCTCCTCGTGGGGCCCTGAGCCTGTTCCCCCCCACGAAGGGGAAATGGTCCCTCTGCGTGGCACAGCTGGCTCACTCCTCCGCTGCTCACCGAGTGCCCACCGCACGCCAGGAGCCGAGGGTCTGAGCCGACAGCCCGGGGTGCCCGGGGCAGGCATGCGAGTCAACAGGTGGCTTCAGGATCAGGTGACAAGCTCGGTGACAGGGCACCTGACATGCCCTTGGGGGCGGGACCTGAGGCCTGGCCCCGGGAGGGGGTTTGGGGGTGAATGGGGAGGAAGGACGGGGAGGGAGGAGAAAGACTGGGGGGCAGAGGTGCAGGAGCCAGGGACGAGGGAGAGGCCTGGGCACGTTCAGGGGCTTGGACTCCACCCCGAGGACCTGGGACTCAGGGAAGGCCTCTCAGGTTTTCAGCAGGGACAGGACACGATAGGTTGGCTGGAGAGATTGAGCAAACAAGAGAAGAGGGAGAAAGAACTCCTGGACACGAACGCAGTGTGGTGCCCATGGGGTGGGGACGCGAAGGAAGGGTCGGGGGCACAAATGGTGATGAGAAATAATTTAATTCAATTTTAAAGAGAGATGCCAAGGTGAGCGCTAGCACACAGACAGCCCTCGGTAAACATCACTTCCTCCCCGTCTCTCCCTCCAGCGCGGCAGAGATGCCAGCGCCCACAGCCCCAGCACGACACTGAGCACGCGGGGACCCACACGGCCCGCACTGTTGCCTGGGAACAGTCCACGGAGGAGTGAACCAGCTCCTCCCTCTTCGGGGTCTCAGGACGAACAATCAGACTGCGTATCTCGTCATCTGACACTCGAGCCCGAGACAGAACCACCACAGGTGACTCTAGGAACCCAGGTAACTCCCTCAGTACTGACTCCCTGCTATTTCCGCTTTCCCCACACGTGTCTCCCACACGTGACCACGGGTAAGCCACACCGAGACCACAGCGGGGTCTGGACACGCTGGGGTGAGAACTGTCACCAGGGACTCGCCACAAGTCAGCCAGCAGAACAACAAGCCCACTGCCAAGTCCATCGAAGGAGGGGGCCTTCCAAACCCTGACGTGATCTGTCACCTACAGTCGCCCCTCGTTTATCAGTAACTTTAATTTTAATTGTACTACAGGGGTGTATAACTGACTCAGACAACCGAGCGTGCGCTGATTCATTTTCACTGTCTCAATCAACTTTTTTTTTTTTTTTATCCTCACCCGAGGACATTTTTCCATTTTTTATTCAGATAGAGCGGGAGGGAGAGAGAGGAAGGGAGAGAGAGAGAGAAACATCAATGTGAAGGGACACATCGAGTGGCTGCCACCCACACGACCAACCAGGGCCGGGGACAAACTGCAACCGAGGTACATGCCCTTAGCAGGAACCGAACCCAGGTCTCTCTGTACCACAGGCCGACACTCCAACCGCTGAGCCAAACCGGCCAGGGCTGTCTCAATCAACTTTTTAATGAATATATTTGAAAAGGAACGGCCGGATTGTACACTAAAGCACACGTATCACTAAGACACGCTCTTCGTTATCCTCTGCTGCCCAGACCCACTGCCCCCTGGGCACTGGGGTGCATAACAGCTGGGTTTGGGGGGAAGTTTTTGCTCAAATTCTCCATTTTGTGAATGTTCCATAATCCCAGAACAACAGCCTGCCTAGGTGAGACTCACAATTCACACGCAGTTTATTTTGTCTCGTCTCAGCTTTTGGACAACAGACATGTTAGCCACATCAAGATGAGAAATGTCCCCAGGGGACCGTGTGCTTTGTAAGACACGCCCTAATACACCACCACGTGTCTGGTCTCACTCACCTGAGCATCTTGTTCAACCTGCGACTCGTCAATTCCGGCGTCAGGGTCTCTGTTAGCCTATAAGAGAATATGTCACATTACTGAATTACAGGAACGTCTCCAAGCAGAACGGGAAAAGTTTCCACCCGATTGTTGTGCACATAAAGCTTTATTTCTTAGGAATAATATTTGATTAAGATCAAATCAGTTCTACAATATTTCACATTATCACACAGCACTGTCCAAAACCAATCCAACCCTCTTGGTTTTAAAGTCTATGAGTAAAGGAGGACAGTGATACCAAAAACAAAAAACAAAAGCTATGAGTCAGCTGTTCTGAGTGCCGGTCAGATCTTCTGAAACACAAACACACAGACACCCCCCAGGGAGAATCAAGCAAGTACCAGAAATGGCTAAAAGAATTTTAAGTGACCTTACTTGACTAGATTCGGGCCAGTCCAGCCTCAGACTTTTTTTTTTTTTTTTTTTAATCCTCACTCAACATTTTTTCCATTTTTTGTTCAGGTAGAGTGGGAGGGAGAGAGGCAGAGAGAGAGAAACATCAACGTGAAAGGGACACATCGAGTGGCTGCCACCCGCACGACCAACCAGGGCCGGGGACAAACTGCAACCGAGGTACGTGCCCTTAGCGGGAACCGAACCCGGGTCTCTCAGGACCGCAGGCCGACGCTCTAACTGCTGAGCCAAACCGGCCAGGGCCAGCCTCAGACATTTTACTCACACTGTCACCAGTGTCCGCCCAGTACCTGAAGGAGGACCACCAACATCCTCTGGTAGTATCCCGAGGTGTCCCCCACCACATCGTCTTCCAGGCTGGAGCCATATTCTGCAACAGAGGAACATCAGACTGACTTACATGTCTTTCCACTGGAAAAGGCCATCCTGCCCCACTGATCAGATGGAAGGGACAGAGGAAGGAGTATCTGATCAGCGAATGTCTACTCTGCCCGGAGGGCCCTGACGACGGAAAAGCAAAGGCTGAGTGAGTTTCCCAGAAGCACTGGTTCAAGCCTAAACCCTGCGGCGGCCGCTCGCAAGTGCTCTGGGCCCGGTGGCGGTGCGCTGCGCCCCGGCCGCGCTGAACCCGTCTCCTCTCGCAGCGCACGTACGCGCGTTACTAAAATCCTACAGCACGCCCAAAAATACTTTTACTGATCTGACCAAAAAAAAAATAGGTATAATTGTGATTTATTCACACCGGACGGCTGTTGTTGTTGGCTGTTGCCGCGTTTACTTTGACGATCGAAGCCTTAGTTTCTAAGGGAAAAGAGGTCAGCCCCCCACTAACGGGTCAGGTGGCGCGTGTCGGAGAAATTCTTCGGCCCCGGGTGAAATCGCGGCTCTAACAGTGAGCGGAGTGGCCGTTCCTTCCCTGAAAAGATACCTTTCCCCTGCAGCAAATGAAGCTCGCTCCGAGACAGCATGGGGGGTTCAGAACGCGCCCCTTCCCACCTCGGTGTTCAGCTATCCGACCAGAGGCCACGGGAGGACCGGGCCACAGGCGTCCGCAGTCCCGCTCACAGACTCCGCTGCTGCTGAAGGGAGGAGGTATCACTCCCAGCCATTTAAATATGTCATCAGTATTTGAAAGCCTGAAACTTCTATTTCAGACATGCAGAGAGCTGTGTGTTTATTTCAATCAGTTACCCAAATACAAAACCTTGAAGGAATGTTTTACACCTTCCGCTACTCCAACACCTATCTAGGATTAACCATCAAAGCCTGTCACAGATGTCTGCCCTGTCTGATTCACTCCCCCGACACCTGCCACCCACCTGGATGGGGCATAACTGCCTCGCTTACCTCCCCCCACACACATGGCCACATGATCATGGTATTTTTTTTTAATCCTCACCAGAGGATATTTTTCCATTCATTTTTAGAAAGAATAGAAGAGAGGGAGAGGAGAGAGACACAGAAGCAGAGAGAAATATTGACGTGAGAGAGATACATTGATTGGTTGCCTCCTGAATGGCTCTGGGGATTGAATGTGCAACCCAGGTACGTGCCCTTAACCAGGAATTGAACCCGAGACCTTTAGGTCCAAGGGCTGATGCTCTAACCACTGAGTGACACCAGCCAGGCCCTGAGCAGCCTCTTTTTTTCTTTTATTGATTTTAGAGAGACAGGAAGGAAGAGGGAGAGGAGAAACATTGATGAGAGAGAACATCAACTAGCTGCCTCTGCATGCCCCACACTGAGGATTTGGCCCACAACCTGGGCATGTGCCCTGACCGGGAATTGAACCCGAGACTCTTAGGTCCAAGGGCCAATGCTCTAACCCCTGAGCAGCACCGGCGTGGCCCTGAGCCCTCCCGACGCAGACCTTCCTGCCCAGCCTGGCAGCCCAGCGGTGCGCATCCTGCCACGGCAGCCGCGTGCCTTGCTCAGTCCACTCCACGCTGCTCGCACACGGCCAGGTTCTGCTCCCTCAACACACGTTCCGCAGGTGACCAGAAACGCCCTCCTCCTTGCCCTACCCGAACCCCCCTGGTCCCCAAGCCCCGCTCAGCGCCTGGCTGCGCCACAAAGACTCTCCCGACATCCAAAACCACGAGGACCGCTCTTCTCTGAATGAGTTCTTGCATTCAATCTGTTTGGCATTTCACTTGTTTGGATTTTACTATCCTGTACTTACTGCCGTGTTTCTAAACTGTCGCCCCTAGGGAGACGGCCAATGCCCTGAGGACGGGAACTATGCCGTGTGCACCTTTGGGGTCATCCGGGACAGCCTGCACACCGCCAGATGCAGAGATGACACGATCTGTCATCTACAGTCACGTGCACAGTGCCGTGGCTGAGCAGTGGACCACACACAGCCAATGTGCCCCGTGGCACCCGTCCACAGGCGGCACATGGGCTCAGAGGCAGCGGCAGGGACACCACGGCCTGTCCACGGGCGGCACACGGGCCGGCGGCAGGGACACCATGGCCCGTCCACGGGCGGCACACGGGCGCAGCGGCAGCGGCAGGGACACCACGGCCTGTCCACGGGCGGCACACGGGCTCAGCAGCAGTGGAAGGGACACCACGGGCTGTCCACGGGCGGCACACAGGCTCAGCAGTAGTGGCAAGGACACCACGGGCCGTCCACGGGCGGCACACGGGCTCAGCAGTAGTGTCAGAGAGACCACGGCCCGTCCACGGGCGGCACACGGGCTCAGCGGCCGTGGCAGAGACACCCGACTGTCACAGCCACTACAACCCCCCGGTGAGCATGGGCAACTGAACCGCATGTCACCCGCCCGCCTAAAGGCTGGGGCCTGTCCGGCTATAAAGAGAAGCAGGAAAGAAAGAGCAGCACTCGGAAAGGCCTCAGCAGGATAAAAAGGTGGTCGCTGGGTTCCGACGCGCTGGGTTACTGCGGCACTTCTAAGATCGACCGACAGGTGCCACGGGAGGGCCCACGCTCCTGGCTAACGGCAGTGCTAAGGCGGGGACGGAGCGACAGCCCAGACAGTCTGGTCCCCCTGCATCAGGTGGGGGGGTCTGTCACAGGAAATCTGGGGAGAAAAGAACTCTCTACTTCCTTTACTTTTTACTGCATTTTCTTGGTTCCAGTCACAGGATCTGCTTCAGACTGAAAGACCACCCCACAGAGGAAGGCACAGCACAAAGAAAATCCCGCTGGGGCGCACCAGCCCGCCACCCAGGGACGGCCGCAGACGCCCAGAGCTCCCGGAGGTGCCCAGGGATGGCCGCAGACACCCAGAGCTCCCGGAGGTGCCCAGGGACGGCCGCAGACGCCCAGAGCTCCCGGAGGAGCCCAGGGACGGCCACAGACGCCCAGAGCTCCCGGAGGTGCCCAGGGACGGCCGCAGACGCCCAGAGCTCCCCAGACGGTGCCCAGGGACGGCCGCAGACGCCCAGAGCTCCCCAGACAGTGCCCAGGGATGGCCGCAGATGCCCAGAGCTCCCGGGAGGTACCCAGGGACGGCCGCAGACGCCCAGAGCTCCCAGGAGGTGCCCAGGGACGGTCGCAGACGCCCAGAGCTCCCAGAGGTGCCCAGGGACGGTCGCAGACGCCCAGAGCTCCCCAGACGGTGCCCAGGGATGGCCGCAGAGGCCCAGAGCTCCCGGGAGGGTACCCAGGGATGGCCGCAGACGCCCAGAGCTCCCAGGAGGTGCCCAGGGACGGCCGCAGACGCCCAGAGCTCCCGGAGGTGCCCAGGGACGGCCGCAGACGCCCAGAGCTCCCCAGACGGTGCCCACCCGAGGTGACACACAACTTGGCGGACATAAAACTGACTTTTATAAGGAAGAGAAACCACTTGCATCTTCAAGTGAAGACAAAAGAGAGGCCGCCTGGCAGCAAATTCTATTTAAAAAGAAACTCCATCTTCATCCACACTCCTTATGCACAGTCATAATGGCCCATAAAAACGAAAATAGTTATGGGTAAGGCAAACACATGTCTTCCCCTTGCTGAAGGAAAAAAGCAACTCAAATTGTTGTTCATTTATTTCCTCTCCCCTTCACCCGCCATCACGCGTGGCCTTCCCTGTAGCCACGGACCTGCACTCCCCTTCACCCGGCCATCACGCGTGGCCTTCCCTGTAACCACGGACCTGTGTCTCCCCTTCACCCGCCATCACGCGTGGCCTTCCCTGTAACCACGGACCTGTGTCTCCCCTTCACCCGCCATCACGCGTGGCCTTCCCTGTAACCACGGACCTGTACTCCCCTTCACCCGGCCATCACGCGTGGCCTTCCCTGTAACCACGGACCTGTGTCTCCCCTTCACCCGCCATCACGCGTGGCCTTCCCTGTAACCACGGACCTGCACTCCCCTTCACCCGGCCATCACGCGTGGCCTTCCCTGTAACCACGGACCTGTACTCCCCTTCACCCGGCCATCACACGTGGCCTTCCCTGTAACCACGGACCCGCGTCTCCCCTTCACCCGGCCATCACGCGTGGCCTTCCCTGTAACCACGGACCTGCGTCTCCCCTTCACCCGCCATCACGCGTGGCCTTCCCTGTAACCACAGACCTGCACTCCCCTTCACCCGCCATCACGCGTGGCCTTCCCGTAACCACGGACCTGCGTCTCCCCTTCACCCGCCATCACGCGTGGCCTTCCCTGTAACCACAGACCTGCACTCCCCTTCACCCGCCATCACGCGTGGCCTTCCCTGTAACCACAGACCTGCACTCCCCTTCACCCGCCATCACGCGTGGCCTTCCCAGTAACCACGGACCTGCACTCCCCTTCACCCGGCCATCACGCGTGGCCTTCCCTGTAACCACGGACCTGCATCTCCCCTTCACCCGGCCATCACGCGTGGCCTTCCCTGTAACCACGGACCTGCACTCCCCTTCACCCGGCTATCACGCGTGGCCTTCCCTGTAACCACGGACCCGCGTCTCCCCTTCACCCGACATCACGCGTGGCCTTCCCGTAACCACCGACCGGCGCTCACACTAGAGAAATGAAGGACAGACATTGGAGACAATGCGAAGTGTACTTGGAAACCTGTACCTTCTTCATAAACGTGCTTGATGGCCGTCAGCTCCTCAGGGGTCCTGGAAGCAATGATTTCCGTCAGGACTTTCTCGTCGGTCCCCGCTCCCTGTGTGGAGATTCATTTGTAACAGGAAAAACCGTGTCACCAGGATTAAAAAGAAAGTGACTCTCCTAGTATGGACGTTACGCAAACTGCATAATGACATAAAAAGTATCCAACATAACATTCACTTCTTTGTGTATGCCTTCCAGTATAGACATAAGAAATTTCAAAATAATTTTCTTTCCAAAGACAATTGTATCCCTTTTTATCTAATGAAAAATAATGTTCATTGTATGTAAGTGTGCAGACAGGTAACAGATGCTACAAATTTGTAATTTTATCCGTTTAAATTCTAAATTGCTTAAAAGCAAAACATTTTAATGAAACATGGAATAGAAAAGGCTCCCATAGTAAAAATGTAGCCTCTCCACAGATTTATGGAGAGAAGTTCTGGTACTTAAACAGTCTGTATCGTACATCCTGAGACCTGCCCCCAAATTCAGCTCTGTGGACACACAGATAGTCTATTTAAGTGTCATTCTCTTCATATTTCTGTTTCTTTAGCAAAAATCAAGCACTTGGCAAACCTAGATTTATGCTGTGGCGGAATTTCAGTTGCTGCTGACATTTCAGAAGCAAGCCACAAAGATGCCCGTCTCCAGTGACCTGGGATTTTGTTTACTCCCAAAGAGTCACTGAAGGAAAATGAAGAGAATGAGCCCAGAACTGACCTTAACTAGATGACCCTCCGCCCTCCACGGAACCACGGTATGTCTGTTGTTCAGTCTTTCCCTTTTTCCTTCCAACTCAAAACTGCTAAGGAGCTAACAGTTTCCTGTCCCGTGGGTCCAAGCAAATGTTTCAGTGTAGCCAGATTTATACTGTTCCCAGCGCCAGTCAAGAAGGCCTACAGAGAGTTATCTGCTACAACAAAATTGTAACAAGTTTACCGGCTACTTCTAGGAAAGGGTGTAAGAACACCTTTCTTTTCTAAAAAATCTCTGAAGCTTTATTTTTGAACCTATAATGAGGAACAATATTATTGTTCCCCAACCAGCCAAATTTCTATTTTAAAAGATAAAACACCTATTCGGTAACATTTTTAAGACACACCTCAGAATTAAAAAACAGGCATAAAACTAAGAAATAAGAGGCTGTAAAAAAATATTAAGAATTTAAATAGCCACTAGCATAGAGTTAGCGAAACAAAAAGGATTAAATGACCCACGTGTCATTTTCTCTCTCTCCTTTCCTTCTTACCGCATCCTGTAGCTCTGTTCTCCACGAAACCCTCGCGGAATAACCCAATTATTTTTAAGACGAAAACGACGCCGCTGTGATCGCCGCCGGCCGCTGGCGAGGCCGGTCGGCCCGCTCGCCCCCCTCACCTTGAGCGCGTGCTTCAGCTCGTAGGCGTCGTACAGCCAGGCCGGCTTCATCAAAGCCACGATCAGCTTCTCAAACTTTCCGGTCAGTTCTGACTTCAGGTCGTCCAGAAGGTCCTGGCGCACAGAGAATACAGGTGTGTCTGCCAGGCACACGTTTTAAGGAGGTTCTCCTTAAACATGAATGACAGCCCTCTGCTCCGAAGAATTTCCCCGGCAGAGGCACAGAGGTGAAATAAGGTACCTGACCCCGACCGAAAGCAGGGGTGAAGCAGTCACCCTGTGCCAAGGTCGTTGGTCTCGAGAGAGGTGTTATTACTTCAAGAGTTTTTAAAAAATGAATGCTTTAAAGGAATGCTAAAAATTCTGTTCTAAAAATGCTGTTCTGAGCCCTGGCCAGTTTGGCTCAGCAGTTAGAGCAACAGCCTTCGGACCAAAGAGTCATGGGGTCAATTCTGGGCAAGGGCATGTACCTGGGTTGCAGGTTTGATCCCTGGCCCAAGTCGGGGTTGGGCGGGGAGCAACCAATTGATGTGTCTCTCTCACATCGATGTTTCTCTCTCCCTCCCTTCTACTCTCTCTAAAAATCAATGGAAAAATATCCTCGGGTAAGGATTAACCAAAAAAAAATACTGTTCTGAGAAACATGTGTAGCTTAAAAAAAATTTACTCCCAAAAAATCACAAATGTGTTTTTGCAATCGATAAAATCTGGCCCATCCTACTCGAACACCTTCTGTTCTCTCAACGCAACAGGTGGCGCCGGCTCTGGGCCTGACTGTGGGGGTTGCCGGCACCGTGGGAAACAGGGCTCCCGGATGTGAAAGGAGAGCGGTGGTCCCCCCACTCCAGGCTGAGCACCCCAGACGACTAGAACCTGGGTTTAAAATGCCTGGTTTTTTTTGCTTTGCTTTGCATTTGTTTCTGAATGAAAATTTCAGAATAAAATGACATCTAAGCTTTTCTTGTAGGCGCTCATTCATTCCTTACAAATTTAATTTTTAGTTTGAATTGTTAATCAAATAAGAGCATTGACATCAGTGAATTAAAACTCATTTGGTGCCTCAGTGCGGCTCAGTGGTTGAGCGTCATCCCAGGGACTGAGAGGTCCCGGTTGGATTCCCGGTCAGGGCACAGGCCTGGGCTGCAGGCTCGATCCCCAGTAGGGGGCGTGCAGGAGGCAGCCGATCCATGTATCTCTCTCATCCACGTTTCTCTCTCTCTGTCTCTCAAAATCAATACAAACATATTTTTTTTAAAGAAAAGATTTAAAATGAATAAAAATAAAAAATACGAAATAAAAAACTCGCTTACTAAAATACCTCCCCCAAAGGAGCCGAGACCGTGCCACAACAACACACCCTGTGACCCAGGCCGCCGGTAGGACACGGACGGGAGCAGCCCAGCTGCAGGCCAGCGGGGTGGTGGTCAGCGGGCTGGCGGCCTCTCCACAGCGTCACGCAGGCAAAGCAGCTGCGTGAGGGCAAGTGACGTGGGCACTGTGTACCCGCAGCTGCTGATGAAGCAACTGGGGAGGAAGGAGGAGAGGGAAGGTCGGCATCACTGAGTATGTGACGTCTGCCACAGGGACCAGCAGAAGGCAAGGTCACCCTAACCAAGCTGCCGCAGTCCCCGGGCAGGCCGGGACTCACCCTGCCAAACAGCGTCTTGAAGGCGTCAACGATCTCCTGGCGCTGAGCGTTGCTTCGGGAGGTCAGCAGGGTCAGGATGCTCTCCTCGTCGGTGCCTGCGAGTGACCAGTGACGAGTGACGCTCAGCCACATCTGGGCGCCCCCCCCACCTCTGTGCCCGAGCCTTCAGTTCCTTCCCTCCTGAGACATGCGTGTCACGTGGCCGACTCAAGTGGAAAACCTGCTCACGCCCCGGGGGATGGTGCCGGCATTCCTACCCCCACCCCCACTCTGGGAGGCGGGTGGGAAACCCCCTCCTTTCTGAAAACAGTGCACCCGGTTTCCCCGCAGCGAGAGGCCCTGACAGTGGCTGTTCACAAGGCGTCACGGGGACGGAGAGGATGCAGATGCGGACCCCGCTTTCAGGGGACAGACAAGGGAGGGGATAACTACAGCTGCACACAAATGACCGTGAGCTGTGGCAGAATGTGACAAGGGCCCAGGGGAGGTCCAGGTGTTCAGTGGGGTTCAAAGGAGGTTCTCTGAGCGACAGGAGGTGGAGGGGGCTTGGGAAAAGCGTCACAGAGGCGGGGTCCCCAGGTCTTGAAGGATGAAAGGACATGAGGAAGAAGGACGGGCTTCTGTTCACTTGAGAGAAAGCTCAGCAGGAGGGAAGCACGGGACTCTCGTGAACTGCAGATGACCTCGGACGGCTGGCTCAGAGGTCACGACGTGGGAGAGTCGGGTCAGGGCAGGGCAGGACGTGGGTGGGGCGGGGCAGGGCAGGACGTGAGTGGGGCGGGGCAGGGCTGGGACACCACAGCGGCCTCACCGAGCCAGAAAGCCCTGCTCCACCTGAAGCCCTCCTGGAGGGGCAGCCACACCTCCGGACGGTGTCCTACACGGGCCCTGGGGGGAGCCTGGGCACGGGCACAGCCTGTGTGGGGAGCCTCGGGGACAAAGGTTTCTAGGCAGCTGGAAAGGAGGCCGGGGCCCAGGAGAGGCGGATGCAGCAGACTGGGGGAGTGGGCATGAGCTTGGGCACGGGCCGCAAGAAGCTGCAGAGGGTCGGCTCTCAGGAAGGTCTGCTTCTCTGGCCTGTCACCTGCCACACAGGTGAGGCTGCCGGCTGTAAAACCCAAGGCGGCTCAGTTCCAGACACTGAGCACCCCGGAGGGTCCGTCCTATCATTCTGGTATCTCCGTGTACCTTTCTCTTTCTCTACACTACCCTAAGATTAATCTTCCTGTGAACCCATGACTTGGGGTTTGGAAAGACAACAGTCCCGGTTTTTGGAACACAAAGGAGGCTGAAGTTACCCAGGCCCTTCATGGCCTTCCGAAGAGCTTCCGCGTCGGCCCGCTCATCAAAGCCAGGGAAGTCGGTCACAGTGCCTTTGAGAACCTGCGGCGGGAGACAGGGACACTATTCAGAGCAGACTAACAAACACAGCACAGCAAATAACAGACACAGCGGCCCCCACTCGATCACGTCCCGACTAAGTTCCTTCACCGTCTCACAACCTGTCGCCCTATTTGAAAGGGGCAGATCCGCAGGACCAATGCCACACACGAGCCGCCGGCCGCCTGCAGTCCCTACAGGACCTCAGTCGGGACACTGGCTCCCAGGGCTCCTCCCTTGGGAATGGCCCCTGGGGGGAGCCCCCAGCACCTCCTGACTCACTTGCTCTCAGGCCTCCTTCCCATGAAGTCTCTGGCCCGTTGATCCAGGAGCACACGGAGCCCACACTGAAGCCCGAGGCCCGAACCCCGGCACTCAGCTCTACGCTAAGCTCTTACCACATGACTTGGCATCCAGCCCTATTTCTGTCTACTTATTAGGGGTTTTAAGATAACCTGGCAAAGCCTGAGAGGATATTTGGAAACTCATGTGCCAGAAGAAGACAGTCTTTGAGCTTCACAAAGATGCGTCGGAAGAGATTCTTCATCGGGTTTCCTGCTGCCCGTCCTTTTATCACACCTACGGCCCTTGTAACATCATTAGCTCTTTGGCAAGAGAAGGCTTTACTAACGCTGAGTCATACACTTATCTTATGCTAAAGGGCGGCCCCCAGCATTTACTTGCACCAAGAAATGCTTCCCAAGTCCCTCAAGACTCCTGTTAAGGTTCCATCCTAACAGAAACAGCTCCAAGGGGGAGGGGAGCACACCTGTGAGGTGTGCAATCAAGGGGGAGGGGAGCACACCTGTGAGGTGTGCAATCAAGGGGGAGGGGAGCACACCTGTGAGGTGTGCAATCAAGGGGGAGGGGAGCACACCTGTGAGGTGTGCAATCATACGTGTTCAATCACGAGTGCAAGGAAGACAACCACCTGCGAGTCAAAGGATCGCAACCTCCTACCACCAACAGAATAAAAAGGGTGACGAGACAGCCATGGGAAAGGAGGTCACAGGACACGGCGCCTGGGTCAGCCCAGCGGCCCTCCCCGGGCACTGACCGGCGCCTCCTGCGCGAGCAGCCGGCGCAGATCCAGCAGACAGACTCCCTGACCAGGCCGTAGGGGGCTCCCCTGTCTGTGGCGAGGTCTGGTGCCCCCCAGCCGCAGGGGGAGTCCTGCTGAGTCAGCGTCCGGAGAATCCCCAGCCCTTCGCCTCTGCCCACGGTCATCCAGCCCCCCCCGCCCCGCTTTGAGGAATCGTCTGTGGGGTGCCCTCAGCAGGGACCCCATCGGGCCAGTTTAGCAAGACTTCCCCTGCCCTTGAAGTCTCCTCTCAGGAAGTTTCCACCCCTGACCCCCGGATACGCATCCCCAGTGGCTTTGCTGTATTCATACTTGAACCCAATCTCTCTCCCCTGTTGTAATAGTCTTTTCTTAAATTTATATTGTTGAAAGTATTACAGATGTCCCTCCTTGTCCCTCCTCCCTCCTCCCCACTCCCCACCACTAGCCTGTCCACACTGTTGTCTGTGTCCATGGGTTATGCTTATGTGCATGTCAGTGTTTTGGTTCATCTCTTCCCGCCCCCATCCCTTCCTTCTGACTCTGAATCGTCTTCCTGAACACTGTGACCAGTGTCAGAATAACTTTCTTTAACAGTCGACTCTGACCTTGTTCAAGGAAAGAACAGTCCTTCTTGCTTTCCCTAAACAACAGAGTCCCCATGAAAGAACCCACAGGAAAACCTCAGCGTTGTAATCATGAGGCCACAAGAAGACAATCCAAGAGGTAAGGGGTACTTCCCCATGTGATCGGCCGGCCACAGAGTGTCCCTGGTCTAAAGAAAGGGCTGTGGCCACCTCGGAAGGTGGGGGAGCCTCATCCCCCTTATCTCCTTGGAGAGGTCATGAAACTAAGTCAAAGCTTTTCAATCCACCCACCGGGGAACGCGCCCACAGCCGGGCTCCTCCACTCCCACCCTCTGAGGAGCACGGATGCGCCCAGAGCTAGGTCCCCTTCCGCCGGTCTGCAGCTTGAGCCCGTGAGGCAGACGGCTGAGTCCTGGTTTCTTGCCCGCTCCCACGTGGCTAAAACCGGCGAGGATTGAGAAAGTGGCCCATCAAACAGCAGCGGTTGTGGAAGTCGTGTCTCGGGCCAAAGCACAGTCGCCCATTTGGTGGGACCGCTTCACATCCCCACGAAGACACCATCAGCATCAACATAGAAACCCGGCAACTCCAGGGGCTCTCGGTGTGAGAACCCGGGACTGACAGATGCTTGAGTTCACCGTCGGTTTAGTCCTTCACTCAACAACCATTTCTGAACAGCTTCCACGTGACACTGCACAGTCACTGGGGACATGCCGTGCTCTCCAAGGCCGGGAGCACGTAAGTACAGGAGGGAGGGCAGCAGGGCCACACGCAGGGCTCTCCAGGGCAACGTGAGCACGCAGGGGAGGGGCTGAGTTGGGAAGAGTGAAAGAGATCAGAAAAACTTCCCCAAAATGTCCTGAAAATTGCCTGTGACAGTGCCAGGCAGGTCGGGGACAGAGGAGAAATGCAGGTAGCTCACAAGCATATAAACATGGACGAATGCTACAGTCTGGGGAAGGGGTAGGATTTCAACAGACCAGGGCCGGTACTGTGGGCGGGGGGCGGAGGGGCTGGAAAGCCATGCTAAGAAATGTTGCCTTCCTTAGATCCATGCATAAGTGAGACCATGGGATACTTGTCTTTCTCTGACTGGCTGATTTCACTCAGCATAATACTCTCCAGGACCCTCAATGGGTAAGAGATCTTCTTTTTTACAGCTGCATAGTATTCCACTATGTAAATGTACCACAGCTTTTTTATCCATTGGATATCTGTAATGCTGTCAGCTATAAAAATACATATATTAAAAAAAAAAAAAAAAAAAAAAGGAAGAAAGAAATGCTGACTTGATCCTGTCCTCAAGGGAAGCCCTCGGGGACACTAAGCCAGGAAGAGCAGTGTCAACTCTGCAGTCATGTTACTAGGGTAACAGCAGGGACAATAACATGGACCCTGCAAGCCCTGGCTGGCTTAGCTCAGTGGCTAGTTAGAGCGTCGGCCCTCAGACCGAGGGGTCATGGGTTGGACTCCCAGTCAAGGGCAGGTACCTGGTTCTGGGCTGCAGGTTCCATCTCTGGCCCAGGCCAGGGTCGTTCAGGAGGCAGCCAACTGATGTGTCTCTCCTACACCGACGTTTTCTCCCTCACTCTCACCCCCTCCCTCCCTTCCATTCTAAAAAAAAATCAATGGAGAAATAGCCTCTGATGAGGATTAACAAAATAATAACAATAACAACAATAGACCCTTCAGGATGCGGAAGGCTGTTTGAAAACTCCTGACACGAGATGCGAAGCCCTCTAGGTGAGAAGCAGCTGGAACGGAAAGGAAGCCAGGACCAGGGAGGAAGCCCGAGGATGCTCCCCGTTTGCCGGGGGACAGGACGGTTTCGCCTTTCTCCGCAGCAGCCCGAGAGCTGCAGTGCGTGGAGGGAACTGGAGCTGGGGCAGGAACAAGAGAAGGCGAGATGGAAACAAGAGCCAGAGGAGAAGGGACGGCCACCTGCCGCCAGAGGACAGCCAGCACCTCCTCACGCTGCACCCGGCATCTCGTGAAACCCCGCGCACAGGGGAAGAGACTCAGCCCAGAAACGTTTGGCGAGGCACCCACGTGACCAGCAAGCAAGGCGCTGAGCTGGGACTGTGGGATCTTAGCACCATCCCCCACGGCCTCCCAGAGGCCGAAAGCAAACCCAAGAGGGTGATGGTGTGGAAGGTGGAGGAGGAGCGAGTCCCAGGAGGGAAGGAAGAAGGGCATGTCCAAAATCAGAGGAAGTCACGAAAGGGGTCGGACGGAACAGGGCCCTCTGGGCTGGGTAACTGGGTCCTGGGGGTGGTAAGAGCTGGACTGAGGGACACCGAGCAATGAACTGAGGGCAGAGCATCTCTGGGAACCCCCATTTTACAAACAATGGTTTATTAAAACAAGGTTTTAAAACACCCTTAGGCCCTGGCTGGGTAGCTCAGTTGGTTAGAGCATTGTCCTGATAGGCCAAGTTGTGGGTTTGATCCCTGGTCAGGACACACACAGGAAGCAACCAATGATGCATAAATAAGTGGAACACAAATCCATGTCTCTCTCTCTCTCTCTCTCCCCCTCTCTCTAAAATCAACAAAGAAGTAGAAAATTTAAAACACACTTGTCCAGCCGGTGTGGCTCAGTGGTTGAGCATCGACCCTGCACCAAGAGGTCGCCGGTTCCATGCCCGGTCAGGGCACATGCCCAGGTTGTGGGCCCGATCCCCAGTGGGGGGCGTGCAGGAGGCGGCCAATTGATGTTCTCTCTCCCTCTCCCCTCCTCTCCCTCTAAAATCAATAAAAGAAAAAAAAATTTTTAAACACACTTAAAAAATACTTTACCCAGTTGATAGGCTATGCAGAAGTTACAAACAGAGACGTGAAAGCAGGGGCCAGGTGAACGACAGGGAAGACATCAGAGATTTGCCTAAGGACAGAGAACTGTGAGCCCTGGGACGGAGGAAACAGGGGGGGGGGGGGGGGGGGGATGGAAGGAAGAGGCGGGTCCTCGGAATCTCAGCCACGAACTCAGAAGAAGGAATAATTTGCTGGCTGTAGTTTTGAGAGCTTTCTAGAAACTGAGGAACACTTGCTACATTCCACAGGACCAGAGTCACCATCTACACTAGCAAAGCCCCGCGGGGACCAGGCATGAATCACACATGGTGAGTCAGAGGGCAGAACCCTGGGGGGAACTTCCTGCCCAAGCCCCGTCCTGCCCACAGAAAACGGTCTGCACTGGGCAAGTGTGACTCAGACAGAGGGCTTCCCTCCTGCCTGGGGTTCCCACTAGCCGAGTCGCACACCGCGCCTCCCCCACTGAACTCTAACAGTGCGGTACAGTGCCCCTCAGCCATCCCCAGCTCACCTGCGCCCCCTGCATGCCTTCCCAGGGGATTATTCTCAGACCACACCTGGCCTGCTGCAGCTCCCGCCTTCAAAATCATCCACTCCTCCAGCTCTATAATTTTGTTGGCTTTTTCCGTTGTTTTGCTCTAAATAAAAAAGTTCTTTAACTTCAAAGACCGGGTATGCCAAAATAAAAAGGGTGAAATTAAACCAACCCGCACTGGCCAGTTTGGCTCAGCGGTTAGAGTGTCGGCCCTCGGACCAATGAATCGCAGGTTTGATTCCGGTCAAGGGCATGTACCTTGGTTGCGGTTAAACCCTAGCCTGGGTCAGGGTCGTGCAGGAGGCAACCAGTCGATTCGCACATCAATGTTTCTCTCTCTCTCCCTCTCTCCCCCTCCCTCCCTCTCTCCCACTTTATCTGATGATAAACAGAAAAATATCCTCGTATGAGGATTTAAAAAAAAAAAAAATTAAACCAAAAAGCAAGTGAAGGGTTGCTTTTGTTGTTGTTGAAAGTATTACAGGTGTCCCCCCCCTTTTAACCCCACTGACCCCTTCCTTCCCGCTCCCACCAAGGGCTGCTTTTCTAGACAGAGAATTTAAAGACACAGAAAGGCTGGGTCCAAAACACACTTAAAGCAAAGAAAGGTCTAGGAACACCAATTTATTTATTTTTTAATCAACGGATGTGTGTGATGTTTTAGGACAGTATACAGGTTACAGGAATAGAATTTATTTCAAAAATGAATCTAAGATGTAAAACATATTGTTATATTTCTACCGTGTTAAACTTCTAAGTCACTGAAAGAAGAAATCCACCTCTCACTAGCCCGCCACCTGTACAGGTCTCCCAAGGGGCATGAGATGCCAGATAAGGGCGTGAAGGTGCTGAATGCCAAGGAAGTCCTCCGCGGCTTGCCAAGCAGCCAAGCCTTCTGGATCCCGTTCTCTAAGCATCCAAAACAAAGACGAGAGTCCAAAGAATCGGCCGCTGCGTGAGACTGGCCAGGGTAACCGACAGCCTGACCTAAGAGCCCAAGAGGAAACCGTCTGACCGCCAGTGGGTGGCAGGAAGAGAGAGGTGCGCCCCATTCACAGGCAGCTCCTCGGGGAGCTTCACTCCCTCCCATCGACCCTGCTTGCCTGGCGCCGGACCGCCGTCCATTGTCACAGCACAGGGACCCCGACCACAGACGGTTCAATCCAACCTTGTACGGTTTCACTACACAGCAGGGAGACAACCTCGATGCTCGTGAAGTCTCCAGTGAAAAATTACATAGCCCCATTTTGACTTTATGACGTTCCTGCTGCCCTTGAATATATTAACTCTTTATAAACCTCATAAATGAAACGAAGTTCAGATGGCCCCAATATAATAGTTTCAGGTTTCATCAACTTAAAGAAAATTAAAGAGATAAAAACCTTAAACTGAATGAAAAGGTGTTGTTAAATGGATCACTCATCTAAGAAATATAGCCAAACCTGGATTTCTCCAAACCCGGAGTGCAGAACGTACTTTTAAGTACTTCTAAAATAAGTCAGACTGCCCTGGCTGGTTTGGCTCAGCGGTTAGAGCATCAGCCTATGGACCAGAGACACCCAGGTTCGGTTCCCATTGTACCTCGGTGGCAGTTTGCCCCTGGCCCTGGTTGGGGTCATGTGGGTGGCAACCACTCGATGTGTCTCTCTCACGTCGATGTTTCTCTCTCTCTCTTCCTTCCTCTCTCCCTCCCGCTCTATCTGAAGATAAATGCAAGAATGTCCTCGGGTGAGGATAAAAAATAAATAAATAAAATAAGTTAGACTATCTATGGAAAAAGTTGTCTCTAGCTAACTAGTGAGATGGAAAACCCATGGAACAAGTCGGGAGGCTCCAGTGTTAAATAAAAAGAGAGAATCGCTGGTATGGGAGACAGTCCACGAGCATGAAGAATTACCCTGTGAAAGGCTAACTTTTAATTTCCCAATCAATAAGAGACATTGATTTTTTAACAACACATTTTACATTGCCCAAATGTGCACCTCGAAGACTCAGGCACCTCGTCCCGGGTTGGTCCCACACCCACAGGTCTGCAAAAGGTACCACCTTTGAAACCTAACACGGAAGCCTCCCTCCAAGTACACTGGGGTCCAAAGGAAATTTTAGACGTAAAAGAGCGATTCCATAATGTAAGTATCGACAACAAAATGCCATCTTAATATTAAATATTTTAACAAGATGTTTTACGTGAATGGCTTCCAAGGATAACTAGTAACAAAGCCAGTGCAAATTCAACACTGTACCATTAACAGTAGCTGTAACTTTTACAATAAATAAAAACTGTGGATTTGATCGAAAATAGTCCTGGTGTTATTGCGATAGAAATCACATCCATAATTCTATCACACAACCACCATTCTCCCATGATGTATACATATAAGGGCCTTCCCTCTACTTCTATTCTTTGAAAGTATTAATATTCACAGTGGAAAAATGTGCTCCCTGATGCTGTCTCGGGTCAAGTGTCTACATAATTAAAAGGAATTGATTGAAAAACTTCAGACATGACTGGGTAAACATACAAGAGAGACTCAAGAAACAGCCAAATGAGCAAGGATAAAGAAAGCCTTCTTTGAAGCTTGCTAACTCGTCATTTATATCACCACACCAGCATATCAAGATAGGAAAAATAATTCTCAGGAAAGTTAATTGCACGTGAAAGTATCCTTTACATGGGGAAGAACCTAATACAAAGTTTCCACTTGAAGCACTATGAGAATTGGTTTACTGTGCTATTCCTTAAGTGCAAAAGAGGAAGTAAGAATGGAACACTGTATCAATTTAATAGTTACCAATTCATCTTCATCCCATTTTCTCTTGGAAAGAACCCTGAAACCTTATTCAATTTTGATAAGCCAGTCTGTTTTTGTTTGTTTGTTTGTTTGTTTGTTTAAAAGAGACCTCTAAATGAGAAAGGGAGATCATCTGGGTAGTTAAAACACTTGTTTAAAAAAAAATAATCTGGCCTCTGGCGAACCATTTAGATGTATAAGGTCTGTAAAATTAGTTTGGGGGTGGAGCTGTTAAGCAGTGTGTTTTAGTCACAAAAGACTGTGCAACACAGCCAGTGTTTAAAGCTGCATATAAATCACACAATCTTCTTTCCTACACTTCTGATCAATGTTAAGAACGGCACAGAAAGCCGGTACCGGGCCGTTCAGTTCCGAGAACCAGTAGTCCCAAGGCCCGTCGAATTCAGAACTCGTTCAGCGACTTCATTGCCTAAGAAAGCTGCTTTCCAGTTCATGTTTCGCAGGGGGAAAATCAGTGCCGACAAGAGTTCCTTTAGTAAAACTGGGTTGAGCAACAGGGAAAAGCCGACGCCCACCCGGGCATTAGAACACAGGAAACTTGCGGGGAGGGAGGCGCAGGAAGCCAGCGGGAAAGTGTTCCCCTCACTTGGCGCTGAGCTGTCCCTGCTCTGGTTCTAATTTTAGCGACTCCTGGGATTTTGGGGAGGGCCCCTTCCACACGTTCCCTCGCGACGCGGTGGGGCGCAAGAGCCGGCCACGTCACCCGGGCCGCGCCCTCGGGGCTGCAGCAGGTCGGGGACACGGCGGGAGGGGGCCGCCCGGGCGAGGGGACCGAGGGCGGTGCACGTCGCCCCAGGCAGATTCTCTCTACTCCTCAACTTTTTGGCCTTCAAACAAATTCTCCAACTCCTTCGACACAGCGGACAAGGGCGGTGAAGGGGCGCTGCGCGGGGCGCACGGCCTTACCTGTGCCATGGCGACTGCTCGGGTCCGGAGGAGGGACGCGGGCCTGCAAGACAAGGGACAGCACTGGTTCCCAGAGGCAGACCCGCCTCGGAGCCGGGACCGTCCTCCCCCTGGGGACCGCTCGCCGCCAGCCTCCAGGCCGCCCTCGCGCCTGCAGGGCCGCTGCCCGGGCCAGGTGCGCACTCACCAGACAGGGGCACCGAGAGCGGGACCTCGAGCCGGAGCCTCCCGGGGAGCTGCGGGGAGCGGGGTGCGGCAGGACGAGACGCAGGGCGCGGACTGCTGCTCCTGGCCAGCTCCCGGCGACGGAAACACCCGGGGCCGCCCCGCCCCGCCCCGCCCCGCCCCGCCCCGCCGGCCCCGCCGGCCCCGCCCCGCCCCACCCCAGTCATCTGCCCCGTCCCCGCCCCCGCCCCCGGCTTCAGTGCGCCTGCGTGGGACGCGCCTGGCCGCCGGGTGGGGCCGGGCTGAAGCTGCGGCGGGACGCAGACGGGGCGCCGCTCCCCGCGGGCGGCCGGCGTGGGGGGCTGTCCTCCGCGGCCGCAGAGGGCGGAGGGGCAGCGGTGCGTGGTGCCCTGCTGCTGGCACAGACACTGCGCCTGGGACATCTGTGACCTTGGAAGAGAAGCAGCCTTGAGGGCCGCTTCCCAATTTCTTTCTAAGTTCCGGGTCCTTTTCCCTTTTTTAAGGGCCAGTGGTTGCTTCCCAGATGGGCCTCTCGTCGTGTGCAGCCCTTCGGTAGGTTGGCTGGGAAATTTCAAAACCTCTGCCTGGGGCCAGTTACCATGTTCAGAAGCAGCCGAGAACTGTAATACAACTTAAATTTGATCGCTGTCCCTCGTGAATTCAACATGACATGTGAGGGTGGGTGACAGAGGGAGGCTGCAGGACAGCGAACTAGACTGGTGCAGAAACGGCCACGCTGGCAAGACAGGGACCGGCTCAGACTCACTGGTGCAGGGGCGGAGGCTCCGGGCGGGCCCCAAGGCAGGCACAGAATTGCAACACCAGACACGGCGACATGTTCTGTGATAAGAGCAGCGCCCGTGGATAAAAGATGAGAATCTGGTTTGCTGTGGGGAAATAGAGAAGGGGTCTGTCATACGAAATGGAGAACTAGTGTGGCTCTTTGTCTAGAACGTCTCGTGTGCTTGCTCAGGTCCGTACCTGCTTGACCCAGTCACAGAGGACAGGGAGGCAAAACCCGACCACCTGTGGGCTCGCTGCCCGCACGCGCCCGCCCCTCCAGGTTGCCTTTCCTGTTCCCTCCCAGCCCCTTCTCGCCCAGCCCAGCCTCTGCCTCCTCTGCTCCGTGGCATCGAAGTCCCAGCCATGATCACTGGGAGGCAGCCAGCCTTCTACCTGATCCCAGGCCTTGCCCTTTAGATCTACTGGTTATACTTCCCTATGGGAAATGGGCCCAGATTCATTTCATAAGATTTCTTTATTCCATCATCCTGTGCCAACAGCGCTGAGTTACAAGGAGGTGATTTAACCTCCCCTTCCTGAGATCTGTGTGCTCACCAGAAATTAAAAGCAGACTCCTCAAATGTTTAGCTTTCGATGTCCTTCCACTGTTTTTATTCCAAACAATATTTGTATTTATCCAGTGAAACATAGATCAGCTTCCCTAGCAGAAGACTAGAATGTAGGCCTTGGGTAAATCACGAGGTAAGAAAGATTCTCCTAGGGATCTTTAAGGCAGACTGTTTTCAGCTTGATGAAGATCCTCGGAGCTGGGAGGAAAGGAATCCATGAAAACCCAGCCGCTTCCAAAAGGGTGAGCGCGGGTCTGTGGCGGGCGGGCGGCCGCGGCCCCGCCCCAGCACCCGCCGCCGGCACTGAGCGCTCCAGAGGGAAAGTGAGGGGAATGCATCCACTGGGGCGCGCAGGCTTTATTTTTAACAACCGCTACTATTAGCTGCAAACCACAGGATACTCAGAATGGTGCGAGAGGCAGAGCAGCTCAAAGGAGACCTTCTAGAAGGGAATGTGCCGCAGGAACAGACGTGTACTCAGACGGGGGTTCATTCTGGAGACGCCCCGCCCTTGGGTGGGTAAAGTTCGTTTTATGATATTGCCAGTGTGTGACCTTGGACAGTGACTTGATTTTTCCTAATTCGGGGTGGTGGCGAGGACTGCGTGAGCTCACTTGTTTGATGCCTAGAAATAACGGGAAGACGGGTTTCAGTTTCTCATCCTTGCTCTGTCCAGACTCTCAGCACTGAGCCCCACCCTCATCTTCCATGCTGATGACTCAGCCCTCACCCGGCCCACTCAGAAACCAAAAAGCAGTCTCTGGGAGCCCACTGCTCCCTGCTGTAGCCTCGTGGCTCTCAGCACCCACCCCACTCCTACCCCAGGCCAGCTTCTGGTCCTCCGAGCATTTACCTGGGGTGTTTCTTCAGTCACTCGACCACTTTACTGTGTCAGACCTTGTGATAGGCACTGAGGGTACAAGAACGAAGATAGATACACAGACTCTGTCCAGTGAGAGCACCCAGCACACTGAGCAAATGGGCGACAGCAGAATCCTGTTCACTGGACATGAAGGATTCTCGCTGCACAACAGCTCCGTGCTCCAGGTGTCACAGTGTCACCGGCCTGCAGCAGGCCGGCCACCCGCACATGACACCTGCCTATCCCCCTCCAGCTCAGACCTCTCTGCTGAGCTCCAGGCTCGTGCATCTCCCAGCCCCTCCGCCCTTGCGTCTCGTGTCTCAGCCGGGACGGCCACAGTGAACTGCAGAGCAACACGCCCAAGCCTAACCCGCCGCTGTCGCCCAGGGCCGGCTGCGGCAACTGTGCAGTGATATGCCGAAGACCAAGGGATGGCCTTAGACCCCGACCTCACCCACGTCACAGAAATTAACTCAGATCGGGTCACAGGGGGTGGAGCATAACTCCTTGTTCTTTACACGTGGGCAGCGTCTCTGGACCCTTCGCTGTCCCTCCCAGGCCCTCCCACCACACAGAAGGTGGTAGATTCTGGTAACAGGGTCCCTCCTGCCCACTGGCCTCTTTAAAAAAAAAAAAAAAAAATTCTCTTTATTGATTTTAGAGAGAGAGGAAGGGAGAGGAAGAGAGAGAGAGAAACATCAATGAGAGAGAATGATTGGCCACCTCCTGCACGCCCCCCACTGGGGATGGGCCCACAACCTGGGCATGTGCCCCAACCGGGAATCGAACCGGCGACCTCTTGGTGCAGGGTCAATGCTCAACCACTGAGCCGCACCAGCTGGGGGGGCCTCTTAATCTCTCCTCTCTCTCATTTGTCTTCATAATCTGATTGTGTTACTCTCTGCTTAAAGTCAATAGATTTTTATATTCCTCGCAATCTGGAGAAGACACTTAAAAACAGTGCATAGCACCAAAGTCAAGGATGCCTCCCGGCGGGAGGGTGACGCTCAGAAATGTGAACGAGAGTCAGAGCCCAGCCAAAGGCACTCACAGTGCATGAGCACAAAGCCTCTCCCGAAACTCCCTTTGAGAAAAGTGCACCTCACTCTCAGCCCTGAGCCACGACCCATACCCTCTGGCTCAGCACACGCTGGACTAGGGAGGGAAAACCCATGTTCACTTCCACACACACCTCCGTTCAGGGCCCTCCACACACGGAAAGGCTGGTGGGCAGGGCGGGGGAGTCCAGGGCAGCGGGCATTGGGCTTGGGTGGCTCAGGGCCCAGGAATCCCAGAGCAGAGGAGGAGGGCTTTGAACACAGAAAGGAGAGAAGAGGGGGGAAAGTTGACAAGGCCTCACAGTTGTGAGCGGGCACGCAGGTGGGACAGAGGAGCGGCAGACACAGAGGGTCAGGGAGGTGCAGGGCCCGCCGACCAGGGGCAGAGGCTGGGCACTAGGCAGAGGCCCAGGTGCGCCTCCCTGTGCGGCAGGGGAGCCAGGCCCGGAGAAGCAGTAGTGAGAGGCCCAAAGGCATCGGAGGGAGGAACCTCTCCTGTAAAGAAGTCAGTAGTTAGACAGACACTGGGTTCCTTCCAGGTCCCGGGCCCTGCTCCTGCCCCGCTCGCTGCTCAGCACCCTTCCTGGTTCACCCTTTGCTGGGGGTGGAATCCGACCAGCCCCATGCACAGAAGAATGTGGTGTGTGGGGTCTTTCGTATTTTTCCCCACACACGTCATCAGTGCCCCTTACTTTCTGGGGGAAATACAGCTCCACCACCAGCACCACCAGGGTTCCCTCAGCGTGTCCCTTGGATGCCATTGTCTTCCAAGCCTTTCCTGGCCGACCACCCCACCCGGGTTAGGAGCCTTCTACGGGTCCCCAGAACCAAGCACCTTCCTCTAGGTAAGCCTCGTCTAGGTGTATTGTGGTTGCCTGTTGATCTGTTTTCTTTTTTTAACTATAAAGCATCTTAAACTATAAAAAAGTGAAAAAGATATTTTGTTATCAATTAAGTCTCCTTACAATGAATACCTCGTTCATTAAACGGATTTTTAAATAAAAGGAAATGTCACAGACACAGAATAGTACTACCATTGTTATTCCTTAAGTAGCTTGTTCATGTGTCTAATAGAAAACTACATATACGTAAATAATCATCATGGAAGAGCCATGTTACGTGAACATGCTCTGACCTCACTTTCATTGGGGACTGGATTGTCCTTGTCATCCTCTCCCCCTTCCCTGGTTTCATGGCCTGTGTGCCTACAATGTATTCATCTCTAAACTCTCCCCCAAAAGAGGGCTTTCTTTAATACATTCAAAGTCACCAGGAAATACACACATACACACACACAGATGTACATGTGTATATGTGTGTGTGTGTGTGTATTCCCCCGGAAGAACTTTCCGGACCTCCCTCTGGAGTACTTTTCCCCGGTCTGGTCCAGTGGTTCTGCATGTGGCCAGCGGTCCACGTGGGAGTCCCCTCACTGCTATCCCGGACCTAGGATGACCGACCCATCCCATTTGCCAGGGAGGGGCCCCGGCTCGAAGCCGAAAGTCCCACATCAGCCCCCTGCAGGCCCAGCTGGACTAGAATGACTGGTCGACCTACCTAGACATCCTTTGGCCTCATTCCTGTTTTAGGTCCAAATTTCTGGATCCCCTTTCTTCTTGGTTTATTTCCTTATTTTGTGGAACCCATTTTCCGGCATTTTCCTGAAAAGGAGGTAAAAAAATGGTTTTAACTCACGTGTCTGAAATGTCTTTAATTGGCCTTCACGCTTGTTAGAGAATGTGATCGAGCACAGAAATCTGACCGTCGAAGGGGTTTGTGCCGTCCAGCTTCCGGGGGTGGTGAGGAGCCAGTGCCTCCTGGCCTGGAGGCTGTGTTCGGACCTCTGGGC